GAAATTTAGCACACTATTTTTTTAAATGCGTTGCTTTTGAAAAAAACTGACCAGACACATTCAATTTACCAGACTATTGAACAACTAGGAAAAGTGAAAAAAATACTTCTTATCGCCAGCATAAATGCGAAATTATTTTTTTTACAGAAAAAGTAATTTTTCACCTTTGGTTGAGTAACGTGTCGTAGAATGCAGATTCGGGCATGCAAATTACACTTGTGAAAAGCTTGAAGTCTGGCGATTCTAAAAATATATACTTTCCTGGGTCTATTTATAGTCATTTAGTCACAATTAGAAGATGAAAACAAGTATGCAAATAATAGTCCCGCTACCTTAAATAAGCGAATCAGTTCTCTTGCTAAGTTCGCTAAAAGACATGCATGCAAAAAAGACGTGTTTTACAGTATATGTGTAGCCAGCAGTACACTCTGAGTGTATAATATTTATAGTTTATATTGCGCCTGATATCCATCAAATGATGCCTAATGATGCTTCTTGAAACAGATGAGATTTTAATCTGGATTTGAAAGTGTTAATTTGGTGCTGTGCAAATGTCATTTGGTAGATAGATGATTCCATAGTGAAGAAGATGTGTAGCCTGCATGCTGTACACTATGAGTGTCATTTAGCTAACTTTATTTAATCTGGTTTTGTTAGCTTTCAAAACTCACATTGTACTGTTACGTTCAGACGCTGGTACTCGACTCGTATAACAAATAAAACGCCCTAACACAAGCAGTGTTCAAGATAGAACGATAGTATATTTTCAATGCCCTATTCTAATGTCACATAACTTTGTGTGATACACCACACCTCAAACAAAAATGCTAGCAGTAACATACAAACAATATATACTTCCGTTTATCAACGGCAAAAGGCAAAAAAGCCTGTCACTCCGTCATCTTTGTTCTTTTATCGCAACTCCCAGATGGTGTCAATCTTCATTCTTTAATCGCCCATCTCCCGTCGAAGCATACCACGTTTCAGCTCCCATGTTGACCTCTTGCACCTAAAGAGTGTCCAAATCGAACACACAAACCAGACTGGATAGCTAACAATGTTCAAAAGCAGATCCCATTTCCTTATAAACTGAGAAACCAGTCAGTGTTATCAGTTTACAGTCTATCTGCAGTCTACCCCTCGTCAACTTAAAACAAAAGACTTTTATAGCCAAAGCAGACTCCCTAGCTCAGTACAAATAAATATGCAAAATAGGGATAAATTGACAAAAGAACACAACATAAAGCGACCGAGGACAATATGACGTTTCAATGAAACCCCAACTACAAATTATACAAATAATAAATACATAAAATATACTCAAACGTAACAGTACAATTGGGTAATCTGCTTGAATATATCTTATTTTTAGTTACATGGGTTAATAGCGAAGAATAAATAATTACATAATATTATCTTGAATTTTTAATTTAAGACTTGTTGTTTGAAACACTCTCATTAACTATCAGACAAGGACTATTCCTAATTCTTGCCCAACCAGTGATGACCAAATCATATCAACATACCTTCATGATTGTATTATATGAGGTTATTACAAGGATCATGAAAAGTATGCAAGAAGACAGTACAGCTGGAGTATAATCCGACATGCAGTGGAGGTTGATGCCACCGTATACTGTCTGGATGCATACTTTGCAGTATCCTCGTAATAACTTTATTATTATATATCTTTTCCTTCCAAGATTACATCATTGGAATGCCAAAATCCAAAATGTTTGGAACATATCTGGCGAACTTCTTTGTGTGGGGTCTGGTCAAACTCTGCGGGCAGCCATTTTTATTATTAGAGTGTGCTTACCCGCGTAATCGTTCCATATGGTAGGACCCAGTGCAATACCGTAAAATTACTGCACACTGTAAATTATGACGTTATGGTAACAGATGTATAATAACATAATTTATTGTTATTTTTCAGTGACTGTATCTGGTCCTATCGTATACCAACATGGCAGTCTATTTAACACAATAATGTACTCGTTGCTGCCTATAATGGGACTAGCGTTGGTGATTTCGGTGGCATACTGGATATACAGCCATCATAAAGAAACGACACACATACAGATCCCATTGCAAGATCCCAGTCCTTTACCGTCGCCATCGCCGCTTTTAGGAATGCGGCCGCTGAAACTTCTAGAAGTAAAAGCAAGAGGTCGATTTGGAGCCGTCTGGAAAGCTCAGATGTTGAATGAAGTCGTCGCTGTTAAAATCTTCCCATTGCAAGATAAAGCATCGTGGTTAAATGAGCAGGAGATCTTCAATTTACCGTATATGCTCAACAACAATCATGTACTGAATTATATCGCCGCGGAAACCCGTGGAGAAAATATAAATCAGGAATTCTGGTTGGTGATGGAGTTCCATCCACACGGGTCATTGTGTGATTACCTGAAGGCTAATCTAATTACATGGAGTGAACTTTGTAAAATAGGACAAACAATGGCACAAGGCCTGTCTTTTCTCCATGAGGATATCCCAGCAACAAAAGACAGTAGAAATAAACCAGCCATAGCACACAGGGATTTTAAAAGTAAAAATGTACTCGTACAGAACGATTTATCAGTGTGTATTGCTGACTTTGGTTTAGCTGTTAAATTTGAACCAGGTCAGAGTCCAGGGGAAGCACATCCACAGGTGAGTTGACAATAATTTATCACTCTTTTAACCAATCCTCGGAGGCGGAGCTACGTCATAAGATGTTCCACGTTGCTAAGACGCGCACCACTGTACATGCATTTCCATGCGCGATGCTGTGGAACGCCCGTCGAGTAGCCGATGAAAATTCGAGAAAACAACACCAACTCAACTTTGAAGTAATCCTGAACAACCAAATTTATATATGTTACACTGTTTAGGGGAGTCTCAACAACCATCCCAAAGTACCGTTTTCTGTGAGTTTTTGACCTTCGTTTTCACCGCCAGGACTGCCAGGCGGTGAAAATGCCCGGATGTCCGCCCGAGGATACATAAATATATGGGTTAGAATTGATTTTGCAGTATAAGATTTGACGTTTAAAAATACATATATTGTTCTTATGAATTATCTGCTGTTAAATATCTTGGTAAAACCACTTTGTTCCTTTAATTGTTTTCTCTTGTACGAATAAAAAACCTAGGATGATGAGGATAGTTTGGAGGGCACATAAAGTCGTATGTGAGTGCGCTGGGCCAGGCATGATACAGGAAAATTATTGCTTTAATGTGAGAACGCACTTCAAATAGCATTATTATATGAGGTTATTACATAGATACCTCAAAGTATGCACAGCGAGAGTGTTGACTGATGCGCAGTGGAGGTCGATGCGACGGCATACTGTCTTCATGCATACTTTGAGGTATCCTTGTAATAACCTTATTATATATTTTTTCCTTCCAAGGATATATCATGGAAATGCCAAAAACTCAAAAAGTTTAGAACAGAATCACCGAACTTTGTGTGGAGTTCGATCAAAGCCTGGTTATTATTAGAGGGCGCTTAAGCACGTAATCATTTCATATTTGGAATTCGCATTTCCTAATATGGTAGGATGAAAATACCGCAAAATTACGACATGCTGTAACTTGTGGCGTTATGGTGACTGATGTATAATAATTTTTAATTCATGTATCGCAAACAACCTATTCCATTCCTACATACTATCTGTCAATTTAATAAAGTATGACATTTATATATTTCTTTGCAGGTGGGCACAAGGAGGTATATGGCTCCAGAAGTTTTAGAAGGGGCGATTAATTTTCAACGAGATTCGTTCTTGCGTATTGACATGTATGCATGTGGATTGGTACTCTGGGAGTTAGCGAGTAGGTGTACTGCTGCTGATGGTAAGTGTACATGTATTTATGTGGATTGGTACTCTGGGAGTTGGCGAGTAGGTGTACTGCTGCTGATGGTAAGTGTACATGTATTTATGTGAATTGGTACTCTGGGAGTTA